GCTCCGTGTAAAAATTGGGGTGATGTCAGTATTTGAGCATCCTTCCCTCTCGCCTGTCTTTCCTTCCGTGGGTGAACTGTCACCTGTGCTGATCTCGTATCTATGTGCCTCTCTGGCCCTAGAAATGACCACTGTCCCCGGTGGACATGGGGAAGAAGCTGGTGATGGCCCAGAAGCGGGGAGAGACTCGAGCCCTTTGCCTGGGTGTGGCCATGGTGGCGTGTGCCGTCATCACCTACTACATCCTGGGCACGACCGTGCTGCCCCTCTACCAGAAAAGGTACCAAACCCTCCTGGCCCGTCCCCATCCTCCGGCCTCTCCCCTGAGGGTGTGGTCTGCAGGGAACCCCAGCCTCATTCCTACCCCTTCCCTTGACCCTGACATCAGGCAGCAAGTTCTGGACAAGCCTCATTCTTAGGGTCAAGTGTCCAGATGCAGGGAGAGGGTAGACTGGGACTTGTGGGTGACGGATGTGGGAGGCCCTCTACACAAAAACCACCAAAGGACCAGAACGAATACTCCAGTGTGACTTTCACCTGGGGAGGAATCAGTCACACAATTTCGTTGCTCATCTGCACAGTTTAACGACTCCCCTCTGAAACCTCCCATTCGGTGGGCATCTAGCCTCCTGTTGAATACCTCAAGTGATGGGGAGCTCACTACCTCACCGTGCATACCTACTTTCTGATAAGCAGGAAGTGTCTACATGGAGCCGAAATGTGCTCCCCTGGAGCTCTGCTCTGGAAGTTCAGAGAATGTTCCGTGCCCTTGCCTCCTGATATCTCAACCACTTGAGCTTTTATGAGAGACGCCGTGAAGTTCTTGATCCATGCTCTATTTGGAACAAACGCACTCAGTTCTTTCAGCCCGCTCTAAAGATGAGTGTCAGACCCTTGCTCCGGGCACGTTCCAGCTGCTGCGGGCCCCCTCTGTCCGCTAAGCGGGGGATGAGTCGCAGCTGATTCGCGGCGGGCGTGTCGATGAGTCTGCCAGCCTCTCCTCGGTCTGCTTCTCCCTCACTTTGTATTGGACTAGAGCAGTTCTAGGCTGGAACTTGCCCGAGTGAGGCACCATTCAGAGCAGCACGTGCCTCCGAATGTCACCTTCAGGTTAAGCACAGTCCCCGCCATCTTCCCCACCCTGGCACAAAGCCAGCCCCTCCATCTCTGCTCTGTAGGGGAAAGGGCACAGATTCTGAAGCCCCCCCAACCTGGCTTCAGGTCCTGTGTGGCCTCAGAAAAGTCACTCGACCTTTCTGAGCTTCTCTTCCGGGCCCTGCAAGATGAGGCTATGGAGACAGGGTCTCGGGCCCGGCTGCTCGTCAGAACCACTGCAGGGCCTTCAAAAGCATGTCGGGGCCTGGGCCTCGTCCACCTTAAGATTTTTGATTAACTTGGTCTAGGGTGGGGCTTAGACATGGGAAAAGCTTTGCCAAGCTCCCCAGGATTTGGGTCGAGCAGCCAGGGTGGCAACTATTTGTGTTGATGATATTTAACCGGCATTGATATTCAGATTCTGTGTCCTCCCCTTTTGTGCTGGATGCTCTGGGGAGATGGAGATGAGGGTCCCAGCCCTGGATCTCTCTAAAGGGGTCCAAACCAGGAGTTCCGTGACATCCAGGTTCTAAGATGTGTGTGTGCGTGTGTGGTGTGTGTGTGTGTGTGTGTGTGTGTGTGTACGCTCTCCCTAGCGTGTGGACCCAGGAATCCATGTGCCATCTGATTGAGACCAACATCAGGGACCAGGAGGAGCTGGAGGGCAAGAAGGTGGCCCAGTACCCGTGCCTGTGGGTCAATGTGTCCGCTGTGGGCCGCTGGGCTGTGCTGTATCACACAGAGGACACTCGGGACCAGAACCAGCAGGTACTAACCGGGGGCTGGGTCCCTGCCTCCTCAGCCCTGGCAGGTGTGCAGGCCTGTCCCTACCTGGCTCCCTGTCTCCTCTCTGGAGAGCCGACACCGAGAAAGATGAACCCACTTGACCGGGGACCACAACTGGCACGAAGTCCGGCTAGACCTAGCCCTTCTGTGTCGGAGTCAGACAGACCTGGGTTTGAATCCCTGTTCGGCCACTAACAGGCTGTGTGACCTGGGACAGCTGACGTACCCTCAGTTTCCACCTTAGCTGGGGTGCTGTTATGAAGTCAGAGATGACATGTGATGTGCCAAGCTCGATGTCGGGTGGATAGCACGCGCTCAAAATGAGACTATCGATAGTGTTTTTACCCTCTTCTATAAAGTGAGTCAAATGAGCGGTCAGGCCCAGAGCTGAGCCCACAGAGGAGAACCCCTGTGAACCTCCCACGCCGGGACACCAGGGGCCCGAGTCAGGAGCAAAGCCAGCGCTTGGGAGATTTTCCCATCACTGCCTTCCAACAACCCTCCTCCACTCCCAAATCCACCACCACAGCCTTTCCTAAAGGAAATACAAGTTGCCCTATATTCATTCACTCAATCGCTCATTCATTCAACAGTTATTGTTGAATGAATTGTTATTGTTAGTCCGATGTTGGGAGTTTGGACTCGAGAGGAAAGAGCTCATGAGCGAAATTATACCTAGCAGGGAGGGAGAGGTGCCATAGAGAGGAAGAGAGAAAATCACGGGGCTAAAGGAGGGAGGGGCTTTCCCGCCGACAGTGAGCTGGGGGTATCAGGAAGGCATTTGGGTTCGGCCTTTAAAAATCAAGCAGGTACAGGATCTGCAGAAACAGACACACCGCGGGCAGGGCACAGACCGAGGCTGGGGAGACAGGTGTCTGAGGGCTGAGAATTACTGCTGTGAGCACCTGGGCGTCTGTACAGGGCTCAGGGTCCGGGGAGCAGGATCGAAGTAGTGCAGACGGGTGTGGGGTTCAGTGACTGGGCAGAGAGATGGGACCGCAGCAAACCGCCAGGACAAAGATCGGGCTGGAAGCAGGGATGGATGCTGAAGTCAGAATTTGGTGGTTGATCGTGTGGGAAGGGTCAGGGTTCCTGGGGGGACGGTGGGCTCATGGACAGTGCCGGAGGGGTGGGTCTGGACAGTGCAAGGTGACCAGGCCTTTCCTGTCATCACTGGCATGACTCAGCCCCACCAGGCGGAAGAACAGCTTCCAAACCCTCTGAATCAGCTCCCCCTAGGACTCCTGCCTCTTCTTGGCACTTGGTGGCCCCTGATTTATCCCAAGGAGCAAGAACCATATTTGCAAAGACAAGCAGAGTGACCATGGGTGTGACAGGGATTGGGAGCAGGCTGGCTTGCAGGCCGCCTCCCGAATCCCGAGTTTACCAGCTCAGAGGAGCGAGAGGCCAGATCGTCCCCTGAGATGAGCTGTCAACAGCATGTGAGACATGCGTCTGTCTGGCCCTGGAAGGGCAGCAGTGGTTGGCAGCCACTGGCCGTTCTAGCTTCTCTCCTGTCACACCCAGGCATCACCAGGAGCAGTGCTAACGGCGGGCTGCCTCCCGGGTAGGACCGTGGAAGCACCTTTATGTTTTGTCATGCGGCTGGGTCGAGGAGGCAGCTGACCCTCTCTCTACCTTTGTTCAGCTCTGGGGTGCAGGGGGCCAGTGCTCCCGCCAGGCCAGCTGGGTGTTGTGCGAAAGGCCCCTCTTTAAGAAGGGAAAGAAGGAGCTATTGTTTCAATTTCATAGTTGAGTCGCAATATTATTATTTATTATTGTTTATAGCAGCACCTCCCACTTATCGAGCCCTTACTGCGTGCTGCGCTCCACGCTAAGTGTTTACATGCATCGTCCCTCCTGCTCCCCACAACAATTCCACTAGGCAGGCACCCTCACAAATCGATTTCCCAAGGCTCAGAGAAGTTGCGACACTCGCCAAGGTCACACAATTCGGAACGGGTATTCGAACCCTGGCCTGCCTGGCTCCGTAACCATACCGTTGCTCAGTGGGCTAGGTTAGCCAAGGTCACAGTCAGAAGTATTGAGGAGACTCGGGCTAGGCCCTCTCAGCTCAGGATTCTGAATTCACCTTCTCCTGAGACCTTGCAGTGCCCGAAACACTGAACGCCAGATTACTCAGGGGCCAGCTTCTCCCCAGCTTCAGCGAAATAATACCCTGGCTGGCTGGTGACCTATTTCTGGATGTGGTTCCCCCACTTCCCAGGATCATACTTTGTTCCCCTGGAGGAAGTGCTGTCAGGGCCAAGGCAGCTTTGGGGCGGGGCCTCTTCCAAATCCAGGGAGTGACTGAGGCCTGGGATGAAAGTGGCTTACTCTAGGCCAGTGGTCCCAAACATCTGCATAGGAATGACTGCTGGGCCCCATCCTCAGAGATTCAGAGAGCCAGTCCTCCAGGTGGTCTGCTCGGGGTGCTAGGGCTGACCAGACCTGCAGAATATCTCCCAGACACTCAAGTAAGCACCATTCAGACCTCCCCACCCAGACCAGAGATAGAGCGAGGGTCTCTGCTGTGCCTCCTCTCCAGCGGGACCTCATCTGACCCGGCCAGAGGTCGCAAGAACAATGTTCCGTGTCAGAATGAAATGGCCCACGCTGTCTGCACAAAGCTCTTTTAAATGCACGCTCTCTCTGCCTTGAATCCCAGCATCTAATATCGGCTTGCCAGCATCTTTTATTTGGCTCACAAAGAGTTAGACCTCAAAAGGTTTCGATGTGAACTTTTGCCAATATTTTTAAAATGTGAGAGTTCAAATTAAAATCTGGTTTCCTGGCTTCTCGTGAAATGTCAGAGGCCTGGCTGCAGTAGGTCTTCTGTATCTCACGGTGTCTGCTGTCCAGATGGAGTGATGACTGCCAGTCTGAGTGTGTCTGGCTGTCTCCATCGCACTGGGCCCTGCAGCTCCCTGACAATTCTCCCTGGCTCCAAGGCAGGTGTCAGTTGGCACCTGCCATCTTGTTCCTTCACCTACTGTGCTCGTAGAGGTTACCTGCATGAGCCCTGAATGTAATTGAGCATGTGACCTTGGCTCTGAATCCAAATACAGAGCCCATTGGGCCTATGTCACTAACTGTCACTCATCAGTCTCCTTAGACAGTTAAGCTTGAAGTCCTTCTTTAATAGCATCTTACATGGACAAAGATACTGCTATTGGCCTATTTCAGAGATGAAGCCGTTAAGGCTCAGAGAGGGTAAGCGATTTGCCCGAGGTCCCACGGCTGCTGGAACCAGAGCCAGGGCTCCCGCTGGGGCCTCTGCCTCCAGGTATGCAGCATGTACCCTGAGCAGCTCCAGGGCCACCTGCCCACAGATGACCCTGAAGGCACGCTCCGGAACGATGCTGTGACTCCCACCAGGGACCTGACTCCAAAGCTGGCATTTTTTTTTTTTCCTCCATGCCGGCTGCTCATCTCTAGGTCCTAAGAAGCAGGGACTCCCAGCCCATGGGTGGGTGCTCTTCCTTCTCCCCACAGTGCTCCTACATTCCGGGCAGCCTCAGCAACTACCCGACGGCCCGGGCCGACGTGGAGAAAGTCAGGGACCGACTCCACGAGCTCCGGGTTTTCCACTGCTTCTCGGCGACGCGGGCGAACGAGACCAGCGTCCTGTACCAGCGCCTCTACGGGCCCCAGGCCCTCCTCTTCTATCTCTTCTGGCCCCTTACTGCTG